TAGTAAAGTGCACCCAACTCACCACAGATTAAAACCAAACTTCATGTGCCTCTGCCAAACTCCTGGATAAGTATTGATTTTTTTAATTACATGAAAAAAAAAATAGCAGTGAGAGATCCGAAATAATTCTAATAAAATGCTCCACATTTGTTTTTAAACTTAAGAGGACTCCTAATGCTACATTCTGAGTAGGAAAGACCTAGAGTGGAGGAATGCAATCTGAGCAGGAGGCTCAGTGCAGTCTGTGCCTTGCCACCGTGCTGTCAAAAGCAGAACAGTTTGCAAGGCTAGATAGGTGCTTTCTACTGTCTTCTGCCATTTTCTAATCTGGGGTGACTTCCCTCCTGCATGGGTCTCAGGATCTGGAGAGAGGCTCTGGGAATGAATCCAATCCTTAGGGCATTCTGCCTCCCACCAGGAAGTAAGAACAATTGCCAGACTGGCAAGTGACATACCACCCATAAAAGGCTTAATAGGTCCAGATCAGGTCTTGAAGTCAGAATACACCATGTCCCCTGAATTTCAAGCAGGGGATTGACACCTTCTTTTAATTTTCTTGTCCAACACAACTGGAATTCCTCCTGAGTACTTTGCATGGCAGTGATGATTTTCGCCATAAGTTGTTGGCAAAGAGATGGCGTGCCATATCCTTTTCAATTCTGACTGCAACTAAAGAGAAAGTCACAGGACCCAGCCAGTGCGAATTGACATCAAACACCTGGGAGAGGGGAGAGGCCCAGATATTCCAAGTCCCTTGATGATCCTAGTGACGTCTGGAGAAGCATCCAGAAAAGGCCCAGAGACAATGTATGTATGAGATTCAAAGATACCTCTCACATACGATATGAGCCTACCTGTCCCTGTCCCTGTCCCCGCCCCATGGGAAACAATGGTTTTTAATGAATGTGAGATGGATCTAGACCTGAATCCATTATACAATACTATCATACATACCATACCCTTAATCTTACTGAGAACAGCAGTTGGGAAGCCCCAGAACCTTCCTAAATAGCTCCAAGTCTTTTCAAAAGCATTTAAAAATTATTAGCACTATGTGAAGCCACATCTCTCCTTGTCATGAAGGATACTAGAAGATATAAAAAATTAAAATCTATAGAAAATGGCAGGTTATTTCTTAGAACAAAATACTTTAGGAAATTCTTCAGGCTAAATACAGTATATACACCAGTGTATGGTCAACATACCCAATCCACTCTGCTTGCAAAATACTATTTTATACACAATCTCACCAATGCTCAAAAAGATTGGCAGAGAAATAGACACAAAGCAACCTAAAATTCACATTCATGCTCATCTACACTGATAATTAAGCCACATTTTAAAAATTACAAATTCAAAAATAGAGCTCCAGAATCTGAGTTGTTTTTTTTTTTTTTTTTTTTTTTTTTTTTTTTAAAACCCAACGTTTAGTGTAGTTTCTCTGTATGCTTTTTAATCGGTTGCTTGCATAGGTAGTATAAGCATGCTTTCTGGGCTAGATGGAGGGCATGCAAAACTGCTGTCTTTACTTGGGAGTCATGCTCAAAAGGTAGCTGCAAAAAAACAATTTGGGGTCTGGTCAAAAGGCAGCATGGGACACCGAGCTTTGAAATAACATTTCAGGTGGGAAATAAAAAGTATTACGTTCCATCTGAAAGGTGCAGTCAGTTGAACAGCAATGAACCCTTTATAAAATTAAAGCAAGAGCAGCCTGCATATGAGCAGCTAAGTTGTTTTTATAGTAGGCACTGGTTTGTCAGCAAATTTTGCCCTTCTCAACCCTAAAATTTAAGTAATAATGCACCTCCAAACTGTGTTTTATTGAAACTGTGCTTACAATTTTCATCCTAGCTCAAAAGTCCAACCTGGAAAACTAATTACCTTTGCATTCAATGACAGTTTACACAGGAAACTGTAACTTTTAGTAATCTATCAAAATGAAACATGATGCTATGTGTCCATCTACTTAAAGAGGCTTTATCCAAAATGAACTTTATTCACACTCTATAGTCCATATTCTCTTAAGTTGCCACTACTGCTCCCTTAATACTCTGTTCCTATTTATTATAGTGAGAGGGGTGACAATGCATCCCATCTCTCAATAATCTCCATAGCCATCTCATACAAACAGAGGGTTGATTCTAATGCAAAGTGACTAGGTACAAGATTTTAACCGTTAACACAGTACAGACACTCAGCCTGAACCAGTGGCCAGAAGTGGCCAGGAAGACTACACAGAGATCAGCAAGGACACTTTTGCTTTCCAGACAATCAAGAGAACCTCACTCTGCTGACCAGAATACATTTGGGTGTTTCTGCTGAAGACTATTGCTCCAAGGCAGGCCATTTGCTCTGGTGTCTCCCAGGACCCCTCAACTACAGCAGAGTGTTGAAGCTTTCCATTTGCCTCTATATACAAAGCAGGTCCAAATGAATTGAATGAATGAATGATTAAAGAAGGATTACATGTGTTCAAGGCAACCTCAGACCTCTGCACAACTGTGACGTAACACAGATATCCCACGTTGCTCTATTGATCTGGCATGGCACTACTTACTCTCAGGCATAAGATAATACAAATGAGGTTGGTGAGAGTCTTAAGTGACATTAGCATTATCTGAGGAGTCATGAAGGCAAGATGGAAGGCTAACCTAAGGAATGGTGTAGCCTCATGCACAGAATGTTTACAGGAAAAGAGAACAAGGATAAAATGGAGTTTTATTTAACACCAAAAAAATTACTACCAATGTATCACTCTGTTGGTTGGTGCTGTGTGCCCCCTGGGACTGACTGCCCTAACCACGCTCAGTGGGTTGCCAAGCAGAAGCTCAGGCCAACCATCTGAGCAGGTGATGTTGGCCCCAAAATACACTTATGTTCAGTGTATCCAAATCACTGGGAAAAGACTGTAATAACCAAGTCCCTAACCCTGCCCAGAACTGAATGAACCAAGTGACAACACTCTCACCAGCTATTTCACTTCAGACAACACCTTCAAAGCAGGTTTTCTTGGGTCTTAAACGCACCCCAGAAGTCAGGAACTAGATTTCACTGTGTCTCAATCTCATAAGCACACAGCTTCATAGCCTAGACAATGCTGTAATAGATCCTGATTTTTTTATTAAATTAAATATGAAATAAGGACTAAACTCCATATACATATAGCTTTTTGACTTTATTATATTATAGAAATTGTATTTCTAGATCCCACGAAAAAGTAAAGAGACTTATACAGGGTTTTTCTGTTTGGATTTTTTAAGAACACATGATACATGTGGGAGGGAGGTCCATTCCTACTGCATTCAAGAATAAAACTTTGTAGTAATGTGAAAATTAAACTAGTTTCTATTCATCTTAATTATGGCCAAACAGCTTATTATTAAAATCCTTGGTCTTATCACACTCTAATTCTAAGACTGTTTCAGAGGCTCAAATCACACAAATGCTCAATTCCTGATACTGATGGTTTCACATTTGGTGCTTTTTCAGAAAATAAAAATAACAAAAGAAAGTAAGATTAGTGGCTAAACACTGATGGGACTGACCTTGTGCCACTGAACAATAATTGACATGCAAAGGCAGCTGTCACCTCAGGTACACCAAGGCAGAGCAGAAAGCCTCAATGCTTTGGGAAGCCACAAAGTGTGTTGGGGCGGGGGCATAGAAGCAGCCAGTACAGGACTGAGTGCAGTGGACACTGGCTCACATACACTGGACTTCATGGAGCACTGTGGTAATGTGCACAAGGCTGAACATCTAAGCCTCAAATACCACAAGGGCTGAAAATCCCAGCCACCCTGACCCTGAAAGCTATCAGCTAATGTCCACACTAGCAGCAAAATAAACTTAAGTAACCTATTGGAAATACTTCCCAAGAGGTATTAAAAACAAACAAACAAACAGACAAACAAACAAACAAAAGGACAGTGCAGAAATCACAACTGCATGCACATATGCACTGCAGTCACTTCACAGAAATACTGAAAAGGAAGTCTGTATGGGAACCATGAGCCTTAGTACTTAATAACACATTAACTCAACATGCTGTATTTAATGACAAAGTGACAAATGTTACTCAAGAATCAACACCATGATTCTCTTGAAGAAGGAGGAGGAGAAGAAACAACTAAAAAAACTGGGCTAGAAAGTACTTCCAAGCAATTTCCACAAGGCTTAGAAAACTGTGTTTTGTCTGTGAGAATTCAGTGAGGTTCCTCTCTTTATATATACTAATGCAATTTGCAACTACAAGCCAGAGGGAACATATGCCAGACTCTGCTTGAGTTCTAGATCTGAGATTAACTCTTCAGAACAGAGCAGACATAAGAGTTCCTGAAAAGCAGTCAAAAGGAAGACTGATGGGCAGGATCCAAAGTGCATATGCAATGCTTTGTCTCACATCACATCAACACACAGTCAGTGGCTCTTGGCAGGAGGCAACTTCCTTCTTTTCCAAGCAACAAGATAAGGCAGTAAGCATGCACGCAAGGGGCAGTATGAGATCCTCAACATCTGACAGAAAAAGCAACATCAGGGAAGGAAAATGCTATCAACTCAGGCTTCCAGCTTGGAATAATTTTTTTTTTTTTTTTCCTCCCTGGGAATCTTTCAAAGGCATTAACTGTTCTGCTACAGTTCGGAATTCCAATGACCTTAAGAGAGTAAATTTAGACTGGAAAAAAAAAAAAAAAAAAATGGTGACTGACTTTCTGAGTATCCAAAATTTGTGCAATCTTAGGACACATCCAAGGAGTCAAGACAGGCTTGGGTATGCATATCACTGCAGATATGAAGGTAGCAAAAGATTTTATGTCTACCTCTGAAATCTCTACCTGTGGCAGTAGGAGAAAGGACACAGTCACTACCTCCCCCCATTTCACCTTCCTTTTGAGCTCATTTATTAGTAATGTACATCAAACCTAGACTAGCTGAGTATATATACCTGAGAAACATTAGTGTTAAGATATTGCCCTTACAAAAACTGGTAGGTGGGGCCAAAGTGCAGAAAACAAGTTTTCCCTCGGTTTATTTTGTTGTTAGCGTCACAGTTTTTGTTTTTTGTTTGTTTTTTCAAGCTCTTGATGTCACTCAACAATCTATACGAAGATAAATTCTGCTCAGATGAAACCCAAGTCAAAACAGTTCATCTGTCTACACACTGATAGCTTAATTGATTCACAGGTTTCCAAACCCTAGTGTCCAATGAAAGTCAGTAGAGTTTTCTAGAAAGAAATTGGTACAGTTGCTAAAGGGACTACCCAGACTATTTTCTACAGTTATTCCAGTTAACTTGGTATCAATGCTTTGCCTATGGCTCTTATTTGGTTCAATGGCAAAATAAGGCGACGCTTTTAACAATCTGAATTCCACACACACATTCATACTCTCTCACAGTCAGGCACATGACCCCCAAAAAATACAAAATAAAAGCATAGAGGGCTTTAGTGGGGAGGGAAGAGTTCTAAATAAATAAACATCTGTACAGATAAAACACCCGGATTACAGAAGATCACTGAGGTTTTTGAGAAGGCCGTGCAGAGGTTTGCATGCTAGAAGATAGCTTTTTGGAGCCTTTCTCAGTGGTCAGCCTGCTACTGGGAGACAAGGGAACTCCAGAATCTAGCTGGGAAGACTTGGATCGGCGAGCAGACAGCAAGGAATGTTTAGCAGAAGCAGGGTCCTTGGAGACAAGCTGTTCTTTTCCAACTGCATTTGTGTTTGCCTGCTGTGAGCCTTGGGGCTGATGGCCTTTCTCTGTCTTGTCATCTGTTGTGTTCTTACTGACTGACTTGACAGAGCTCCCACCAGCCTTTTTGGACAGCAAGGTTGTCTTGCCAAGATCAGTGGACCGCCGGGTTTCTTTCTGTCTCAAGGCTGACTTAAAGAAGGATAGTCCCTTGTCCTCAGACTTGCTGTCCCTCTTCAACCCAGAGCGCACACTTGTGCTAGGTGAGCGCAGACTGGCCATGGAGGAGCTCCGAACATGTTTGCCATCAACTCTGCTGTCCCCTGCTCTGGCTGGATTCACTCGAGGGGAGCTGGGTTTGGAAGTGGAGGTGACACTGGCTCTGTCAGAGCCTAAGCTTTGTCTAGAACCCTCTCTACTCAAGCTCTGGTCATTAGTCCTGCTCTTCCCAGAAGGGAGGGAGCCCCTGGTGGCAGGGCCTGGGGCTTTTTTGGCAGATATGGAGGAAGAGGAGTAAGTGAAGGCAGAAGCAGACTTTTGCTTCTGTGGTGAAGGCGATGACATGGATTCCTGGGACTTGGGGGATGATTCTTTTTTGGGTTGGGTAGAAGCAGGCAACGAATGCCTTCCACTGGCCCTGGAAGAATCTGCTTTGCTCCGACAGCGGGAAGGTTTCATGGAAGCCTTCACAGGAACAGGTGAAGAAGGGGATGGACTTGAAAGAGAAGATTCCTGGCTGGCCAAGGCTGGCCTCCCCTTCCGCATGCTCTTCTCTGGCTCAGAAGTGCCTTTTGAACTAGGCGATCTCTTGGTTGTGCTCTCTGGTTTCTTTGTGAGGGAGTCTGAGTGACTTGGAGGTTTCACCTCTTTGACTGGAGAGCTGTCAACAGAATCACTCTGATCCACATAAGCAATCTGGTTATTATTATCAAAAGGATCAGAGATGGGGGCCAAGCAGTCCCCTTGTGCTAGATTTTTGCTTGGTTTTTCTACAACACTGGAGTTTAATTTTCGAGAGTCTGACTCATCTTTGAACACACCTTCCATGACAGCCAGTGGGGCCCGGCCCACAACCTTGTGCTCTCGTCTACTGTGACTGTCACTTGATTCCTGGTGGCTACCAGAAAGGTTCCGTAGACTACCAAAGCAAGAAATGGAGACTTTGTCATCACCTGCCTCCCCAATCCTTTCAAGGGTGGAGGCAGATCCATGGATCGGGGAGTCCCCTGAGAAGCGGGAAGGAGAACTGGAACGCATCTGTAGCTTGGCAGACAGGGACCAAGAAGGCCGCATGCAATTTTCATTGACGGCCAAGGGGCTGGTGACAGAAGATCTGGATGACAGACTTTGACGCTGCACACTTCTCACAAATGGTCGAGTAGAAAAGCCTCCTGAACAGCAGAGAAAATTGTCAGTTTAAACCAACAAAAACACTTGGTACACCTTAAGACACTGAAGACAGAGCAAGAGCAAGCCTGGCGGAACAACAGGACCGTGACCTTCAAAGCTGGCCTGTTTACTAGAGTCAGAGATAGCTGTTTTCTTTCAACCCTTTGAGGACCAGTTCCCTTATCCACAAAATAGGGTCATGCTAACTCTGAAGTCAGCAAAATGTTCCCCATCTATTTCCTCCTATGTCAGGGTCAGCATGCTTCCTGGAAGGACATAGTCAGTCTGTCAGGCTGTTCAGGCAGTTGCTCAGCTCTGTGACCTTCCTATAAAAGCAGCTACAGGTGGCACACAATTAAGCATGGATGATTATGTTCCAAAATCTACGTGTGGCCTCTGGTGACAGTCTGCTGACTGTTGGTCCAATTAGATAATTAAATAAAATCTTAGAAGTCTGTGTCCAGTAAGGATGCTGCTACTCCCAGATGTTCACTGAACATGGGTTGCTACTCCAATTCCTTCATCTTCCTGAAGGACACTTGGGACTCACAAAATGACACAAGACCCATGACCCCATTGCATTTCCTGTGCAATTAAGTCTGTAACACATAATAATGAAAGGACACCAGTGGAAAGAACTAGCATCTTGGATATTATACATACTACCTTGAGTGACTAGTAGATTAGTATTTCCAATGGCTTAAACCTCCCCAAGATAATTCCAAGCTGAATTCTATCTACATTTGTTACTGTAGCTGTGGCCTTTGTGATTTCTAAGAGTCAGGTTCTGTTCTATGTGACTATTGAACATAACTAAATGATGATGCTTAAGAAGATATTGATTTCACCAACTAGACTGTTTTAAAAAAGTTTAAGGCAAGCTACTTCTTGGTTTTTGTTAAAACAGCAAATTCCAAGTTTACAGGGCTGTGATGAAAATAATGTCCACCTAAATAGGTATAGGCCACTAGTCAGCTTTTCATAAAATACTGGGAAAGACAAAGGGCTTAGCAACAATAATCCAATATATTCCATCCATTTCACGGGGAAACAAAATGCCAAAGCAGGTAGAGCCACAGCTCTGCTAGTTTGACTACTTCCAATCACCTTCCATTTCAGCTCCATTTTATTTTCTCAGAATTATCCATCACCCCTAGAAGAAGATTAAAGCAACCGAAATACTGGAAGCAGGGTGAGTCTCTTTGGAAGATGAGTCACTGTCTTCATTAAAGAAGCTGAGCTCATCCTCTCTACCACCTGGGGCTCCTGAAAGTACTAAGGGCTATCCTGTCAATACTCAAGCAGAAGTGAAAGGTACCAAGAAAAAAACCAAATAAACAAAACATACTTCAATATTTAATCAGATTTTCCCCAGTATTGCTATTGTGACTATGTTTAGAGCAGAGGTCAAGCTGACCCAATGGTGTCCTCATTAAGCTGAGACAGCATCCCAGGCAAGGTAGAACGTCTCTGAGTCATTACAGCCATTCCACAACTTTAACAAAAAAGAGTTAAAGATCTAATCTGTACATTGACATATAAGTGAGAAATAATGAGTAGGAGAAAGCCCTGAGTCATAGAAAAGCCACAACGCAGTCATGTACCCCCACTCTTTTGAGTTCTACAATCTCCTTGGAAAAAGACTTTGTTCCTAAGCCTGTGGAACCTGTATTTTGTTTACGAGTTGACACTTTGGAAACCTGACATCAAGAATCACACCCACCATCATCTTCACTTCTTTCCCCTGTCATCTCCACAGACTCAGAGAGTGAGGCCAAGGAGGTACGTCTGGAGGAAGCTGCAGAGGTCACACTGGCTTGCTTGCTCCCTGGGAGCCGGCTCACCCAGTGCTCACACAGAGAAGAACTTGTGGAACCTGCAGAAAAGCAGATGAGTCCTGAGGTCAGCCAAGAGTCCTGCACTGCACACATCCTGTCAAGGTATTGCCAGCCAAGCCAGAGGTTTGTGTCTTCATTCCAGAGTTAAGACAAATTTCCAGAGCTGAGTATCCCTAGCAAAAATGAAGAAACTTCAGGCAATTCCTGCATACAGGAATGTCATAGAATCAAAACTCAAATACAGAATAAATGTTTCCAAAAGCAACACCTAATCCTGGCAAGGGAATAGTGAACAGGGACACATAGCCACTCAGTCTACAAAGACTCGCTAAGCACGCAATACTACTGAATCACCCAGAGGAAGGGCAGTAACACAGACACTTTTTCTTAGCTTCTCTCTTTTGGACATTTTAAAGCCATTTTATAATATTAATGGCACATACATGCACATGCATGCACCAGCATGCGCGCGCACACACACGATAGGGGATGTAAAAGTGCTGTATGTCCTTCGGTCCTGTCAATTCCAGGGGTACCCTTAAATATGTTATGGTAATAGTGTTCTTGAAAGTGACTACATGAAGCAGCACTGTCTTAAAGAGACTGACTTTTTTTTTTTTTTTTTTTTTTTTTTAAGCACATCTCATATTCTAGAATGGCCTAAGAGTACCAGAGTTCCCTCTTCCAGACAAAGGAGCAATCTACCCACAGAGTAGGCCTTGTCTCCTGGCAAGGGTCCCTCTGCTTGAGTGAAGCTTCCTTTCAGTTGCTTTGAGCACACCCCTTTACAGGCCTGGAAAGGGACATAGGTCACTGTTCCCTGTCTATTTCAAGCTATTTTCTTAAAGCCATAGTCTGAAGTAAGAAGCATGCACCTTTCTTCATTTGGATTATCTATAGCTGCATCCATGTTGTGTGTGTAACTCATTTCTACATTTACTAACATAATAGGCTGCATCTCATCAGCAGAACTAAGCCTTCAATCAGTTAACAGCAGTCAATCCTTCCCCTAACACAATAGATTAATCTTATGGAAGAAAAAGAACTCTCTCTTCCAATGGTCTTCACATACCTTCACCAATGGTAAGCAACCAGCATCCCTACTGGGCAGGTGTTATCAGATGGAACATGTTCCAAGATAACCCAAACAGATGTCAGAACAACACCTCAGGCTACTAACATTACTCCTCCGGGCACTTAACCAACAAGTAAATTATGAGTTGTTTGGCTAGACTCTGCCCCACCTTTAGGTGAACTCTGCTGGTCCACAATAGTTCAGTGTTCACCTGAATTTCCTTGGTGGAAGTGTAAAAATTAGTCTCATCAAGCTTTCAATAATGAAGCCTTCTGAGACATCCTCTGGACCAAGAATTATAACCTCCTGCTCTGGGAAAAAACAGCCAAGAGCCAGGTTACCTGCTACTGAGCTATTGGCCGACCAAGATGGGATGGCTGTCCGCCTCTGGTAGAAAAGTATGTAAGCTGTCTGTGTGCACACCTCATCTTCTGACAGCTGCTGCACATCACTGTCATCGAAGCAATACCAGAGACCATCCACGGAGTTCTTACAGTATGCTGCAAAAAAGAGCACACCATCAGCACCAGAAAGGCCACACCAGCATTCTACCCATGAGCATTTTAAACTGCCCATAGTAACAAAAAGAGATTAAGGAGAAAAAAACTTCTAAGTTTCATATTTTACCTAGGCAGAATGTCCTGAGAAATTCCTAAGTATTCCAATTTCATAACTATTTCATCTCAGAAAACTCATTATATGTCTAAGTAGGTCTCAGCCAGGGACAATTCTGTTCTGCTAGAGACACTTGCAATGAATGGAAACACTTTGTCACAATGGGTAGGTTGGGATGGGAATCAACAAGCACCTAGTGGGTAGAAGACAGACATGTCCACAGTGCATAGGAAGCATTCTACAACACAGAATATCCAGTCTCATTGTCAAAAGACAAGATAAAGAACTTTGATTTTTGTTGTTGTATCACTTTAGTGTTTACTAATGGCATAATATGAATAGCCACCAACAAATATTTAAGACTTATCATATCTGCTGGGTGGTGGTGATGCATGCCTTTAATCCCAGCACTTGAGAGGCAGAGGCAGGCAGATCTCTGTGAATTTGAGGCCAGCCTGATTGAGTTCCAGGACAGGCTCCAAAGCTACAGAGAAACCCAAAATAAATAAATACTATCACACCCTAACCATCTCATTTAATCCTGAGATTTATTATTACTACAAATTTACACAGGCTCAGAAAGATTACTTATGGGGCTGGGAGCATACCTCAGCTGGTAAAGAAAGTACTTGCCAAGCAAGGATAAGGACCTCAGTTCAATCCACCCGCAGTCTAGTCAAATCAGCAAGCCCCAAGCCCCAGAAACCCTATCTTTAAAAACAAAACAAACAAATAACAGCAACAAAAACCTAAAATACAAAGTAGGTGTACCTGAGGAGGACCCTGGCCTCCACACACACACATTCCACAAATACTCCTATATTATCCTACACACAAAGACTTTCCAGCACATAGTTGTGCAGCTGATAGAGAATGAGTATATTACCTAATTCTTTGACTTATGCTTAAAGCCCTACTGCACCCCACCCTTTCCTTCAGGGTAAGCCTAAATGATCTATGGAAATTCCCTGGCAAGCCTGAGAATACAGAAGTCAAGAATAGATACATGGAGCCTTCTCTCCAGTTCCAACTCTAAACTTAAGATAGAAATAAAGAACATTTAAGTACCATTGAGGAAAACAAAAAATAAGAACCAGCAAGAGCCAATAAAAACATAAGTGTCTCAGTATTACAATGTGTACTTAGTGTGCCTAAGAACCTGGGTTGGATCACAAGCACCATACCCACATCAAAACCTTGAGATCGTGAAGACAAGTCAAACTATTAGGCTGGATCAAGGGGTCTTATATAGTCTGATCCCGAAAAGCAAATTATTATCACATTTCTCAACATATCCATTTATTGAGTATAGACAAGTGCTGAAATAGTAAATGCTGACAGCCTTAGGACAACTTTCAAGGGCAAGGCACATACAATCCTGACAGGCACCATGAATGACACCCTCAGTAGGCCACTTCACTTTTCCAAGTATGGAACCACAGAGATGAAAGGGACCCAGGCAAGGAACTGTTCCTAGCTAGAAAGGTTCCAGAAGACACACAAAGACTCTGAATGTGGGAGAGAGATCATGTGCAGCTACCAAACCAAGCAGTAAAACGGAGACACACACAACAAATGGAGTCATAGCAACAGCACTGGATGAGCCAATGGTGTCAGGCCAGGCTAATGCACAAACGGTCCATTTGGGGAGGAAGCTGCTATTCTGGAGAGGTGAGTGGGAGCAGAAATGCACAGGGAACACACCTACCAAGAGACAGATACCCTTGCTCTAGTTCAGTCTGTTTCCTTTCAGGATGGTCTGTTCTCCATTGTGGCAAGGAAAGGCCACATAGTAACTTACTAAGAAGCAATCTATTTATTTATAATTCTGCTTGCTTTTCTCCCTAACACTACCTTCCAAAGTGTTTTCTAGGCTAGTGCTACTCAAGCTGTGGCTCAGAAACTGGTGTATGTCCACCAAAACAAAGATAAACATTCAAAAACATCTAGCAATGACACTGCTGTAACATCTGTATTATATGTTTACAAAATTGGCTTATGAAGAGTTGGAAATGCTGAAATAAAAAATAACAAGGGCTTTATCACAGATAGTTTGAGTTTGCACAAGTTAGCCATATACACAAGCAAGAATGCATCAAAGACATTCCAGTGAAAACTTCAAAACAGAACCGTCAGCTAAAATAGTACTGTGAGGAGGCTCACCAGGTAAAGGTATTTATAGCCCATTTGATCCCTAGGCACCACATGACAAAAAGAACCAACTCCATCACACAGGCTGACATCTACATGCACTGCCACACCCAACACAATTTAAAAAAATCAATGTAATGCTGAGGGCTGTTTCTCTAAACTGTAACTGTAAACATTTACAGATCAGACAATCAATGATTTGCCTTAAGAACAGGAAAGGAGGGAATTTGAGATGACTCCACATGGCACATGGTGGTAACCCTTTTGCTGGGGAGGCAGAGTCAGGAAGATACCTGAGGATCAATGGACAGCCCAGCCTAATTGGCAAGCTTCAGGTCAATACAGCCTGTCTTAAAAACAAGGTAAGCAAAGCCTGAGGAACAACATGGTTGTCCTCTAGTCTTCAGACACAAACCCAAATATACGCATAGCACTGCATAGAGGAAATAATATAGACTGGTGCCTCTCAACCTGTAGGTTAGGGCCCCTTTGGGAGTCAAATGACTTTTTTACAAGGGTCACCTAAGACCATCAGAAAACACAGATATTTACAATTCATAGCAGTAGCAAAATTACAGTTATAAAGTAGCAACAAAAAAAATTTTATGGTTGGGGGTTATAGCAACATGAGGAATTTTATTAAAGGGTCACGGCATTAGGAAGGTTGAGAACCACTGATAGAGACTATATGAGCACCTCCTACATAGCAAGGGGCAATGAGCAGATACACTCCTGTTCATCACTGTGCTTCATAGAATCAAGTAAAGTTATTTGGCCAAGTTTTCAGATGGGTCTACAATCTCACCCAAGCTCCTTTTACTAAGCCACACTGCTGTTTCCAAGTAGTTTCCAAAGTCTGTTCTAAATAAAGAACAACATGATAATTCTAAAATCTAGCACTGTCCTATTTTCCCTAACAATTCATTTCCTAGGCAGTATGTAATAAATCCCTATTTTGCAAAATGACTTCTTTACCAAAGCTGAAGTAGTGTAAATATCAACCAGAAATACTTCTAAAGGGTTAATACAGTGAATAGTTAGTAGATTTCAATTACTTCTAAGTCTCCTTCCATTCTAAGAGTAAAAAAATATATAATCTCAAGACTCAGCATCCAAGAAAACATAGATATAACTAGTAATGTTAGAAAAGGAAATATCCAACTAGAAATACAATCATCACACATATGGCTGCTATAAAAAATATATAAAACAACAAACATTGCATTGCCATCTACATAGTGCTTTTTAAAAGCACAAGGTAAAACATATTTAAGCTATTAATGTCTTCTGTGAAATGAGCACCTTGGGAGCTCCTTTTCTCCTTGCAAATACCTCCCAGACAAGCAAAGCCAAACTGCTCTGTCATGAACACACCAAGAGGCTGACTGGATCATTCCTCTCAAAAACAGCTGCTACCAGCAGAGTTAAACCAAGAGGGTTTCAAGAATGAGCAATCATAGCCAGGCACCTTCCTATCCTCCTGAGTTGGAAGACAGTATGCAAGATTGGGAAGGCCAACAGACACTATCACCTTGCCAATACACAGAGGAATTGGTGGCTAACTGCTAGGAGAAGAATCTACAAGGAGGGTCATCAATATTAGATTAAACTAGCCAAGTCACTTAACAGAAATATGTTCTGACAAATGCAATGTTACACAATTCGTCAATATAACTATACAAGCTAAGATGCTACCATGTCATTAAAGCAATATCATCTTTACTGGATCACCAAAAAGATGTGGCTCTCTGAGCCCATAAGGCAGTATTGCACAAACAGGTTACCAATCTGAGGCAGCTTTTCCTCCCTTCCTCTGGGCTCACCTCCACTACCACTTTCTATACATATGGTAATTTTCTTAAATTTCATTTCTATCTACATCTCTGCCTACTTGTTACTGCTCCTAGAAGATACAAAGTGGGATTTAGTCACCTGTGATATGATCAGAGTCTATTGTGAAGTAGCTACAAAGTGTTTCATATTTATGAGTGAAACATACCAGTATAGTTACATAGGTATAAAATAGCAAATGTATCAAAGCATTACTATAGATGAACCTTAAAGACATTACTCTCAATAAAATAAAGCAGTTACAAAGAATAATACTTTGTGGTCCCATGTCCAAGTTGCACCTAGAGTAATAAGTTCATCAAGACAGAGTATGGTGGCTATTAGAGGCTGGAGGAGGAGCAGCATGGAACTTACTGCTTAATGAGTTTCTGTTTGAGAAGATGAAAAAGTTCTGGAAATGGATAGTGATGTGGCTACACGACAATGTTTTCTAAATACCACCAAACTGGACACTTAACATTGACTGAAATGCTAAGTTTAATTATGTATATTTTTAACTATGATTTCTTTAATGTTAATAGCATTTATATTGATATGCCTGGTAAGCCCATTTCACAATAGCATTCTTTCCACATCTCTCTAGACTTCTTGTGCTGATCAGAGTTGCTTTTATAATGCAAAAGTAAATTTACCCTTAAAAGAATAAAGACATCATGAAAGTGGTTCATGACCATTCTAAGTTAGTGAGATGCTAGAGCCTCAAAACTATCACATAGCTATAATGGGGAAGCACGCTGGGTAAACAACAGTGGCTCCTCAGCTGTCTCGTGCAAACATTCTCCCATCAGGTCTGCTCACTACTGGATCAATGAACTCAGAAGAAAGAAGGTTCATGTATTTGATCTTGGACAGAGAATTGAAGGATGAAGCTGCTCTCAGAGCTGGCAAAAGGCACACTGGAAAAGAAAGGGAGATTCAAAAGCTACAAGCAAACAGCCTGAAGGAAGCATCAGCACAGACACGCGGTCTCTCGCACTGCAGACCTGTGTAGTGCCCCCCTTGCATGGTGCCATGATGATTGCACACAGCATACAGGTCATAGATGTAGTCCTCAGGGTCCCTCCCAAGTCCATAGGGCCGTCTCCATGGGGACCAATGAGATGGCAAGCTCCAGCTGCTCTGGCTTCTCTTAACCACATGCGGTGTCATGTCCAGGCCAGTCAAGGGGAACTTAACCATGTTCTGAAGTTTCATACGCCTGTCTCCTTCCTGTTATAAGAAGAAAAACAAGTTCTGATGACATTTTAATGTAAGCAGATGGAAGCTCAGTTTAGCATGAAATGTGGGCCCTGTCAGTTAAATCGCTTTGAATCACCTATCTGATGTTTCCTAAGACACATAACAGGGAAATAGACTAGGAAGAGTTAACTGTAGACAGGAACAAGCTTTAATACCACCTACAGTAGAACCAATGAGGACCAGCATGTAGGTGAAAATGAAGCTCTAGAATTTTGTTTTTATCTGTCAAAGCTTTGGGGGGGGCAGGCAAGCTTAGAAGAAAAGTGACAATTTCAGGTGGCTCATTCTGATACTTCTGTCGGATGCCTGAAGATAGAGTATAACTATGTAAAAGGCAAACCCCCAACACCTAGCACAAGAGAGGCATTTAATAAGCAGTGATCCTTTCCTCCCTACTTCAACAAGCACATTTATTTGGCTGAACTCAGCTATTTGGCCAACAATCTTAAATAATCTATGTTTTCCATTAAACCCTTTGGAATATCCTTGAAACCTAAAATTCTTAGATTTTTACTATTGAATACTGGAGAACATTTAACAAACTAATCAGACATGAATGTGACAATTCCAAGGACTTACGATGGATCTATTAAAGGAAAATATACATTCATGGAAGAAAAGCTTCTGAATGAGGGCCAGGCTGAAGAATGGGGCCCTTATTTTGTAGTGAAGAAGTAAGCACTGAGGTTTGCAGGAAGGAAGTGATGTCACCAGAATTGTGAGTGAAGAACTGAGCAGTATGTAAAACATGTTAGGAAGGGCAGAGTTATAGAGGTTAGAGATCAATTAAAGACTACAACTGCAACCACCTGAACAGTAACAAAGTCATTTAATTGTACGGTGACAGCAAGCAGGGGGAGACATACAAGGAATCCATGGAAAAGCCAAGTCAATTTGAGCAAGTGGCTACCAAGATTAGACTGAGAAGAAGAGATGTCAAAGATGACACCACCATTTTGAGTCTGGGATTCTAAAATGAAAAGTGAACGAAATCACTTAGCTTTAGGGAAAGAAAACAGAGAAGGTTGGACTAGATGTTTCATCAATTAGCTTTAGGGAAAGAAAACAGAGAAGGTTGGACTAGACGTTTCAATCAATTTCCCAACTACAGAGCCCAAGCTGTACTCCCAAGGCAAGTGCCATGTTTCATTACCACAGAAGCCCAGCTCTGAAATTTAGAAAGGTTTGGGAATCTAAAGTAGTCCCCTAAGTTTTACCCGGTGATTAGAAAAACCCAGGCCCGGGGACTAGGTTTGTCACCTTTGCTCCATCTTAGTCTTCACCTCTCTCTAGCCCTATTGCTACAACTCTCTCCTAAGTCAACAGCAGCCTCTATGATGCCCACAATACTTACAACTTTTTTTCTGCTAACAGAAAACTGAAACTTTTTTTCTGCTAACAGACAGCTGAAAGGATCATTTCAAAATACACATTTGGCAATTGCTACTCCTGTTTAGAGCTCTTCACTCTGCCTACAAGGGTATTCTTGAACGACTGCTCTCCACCTGTCTTTCTCTCCCATCCTCTCCCACCACCCATCTTCAGGAGTGACAGTGTCACCCCACTGTCCTGCTCACAGCCTCTTCAGGTCCCAGGCTCATAAACTGCTTACTCTGTCAAATAAAGGTACACACCTGCTTCTCCTTCTCATCTAGCAAACAGCTGCTCATTTTTCAGACACAAACTCTTAAATTCAGCCACAAAAACTCACTACAGATCACCTCTGGTTAAATTCTCTCACAATGTAACTATCTAGGATGTTCTTCACCTCAAGAGGCAGACAGACTTTTTGAGAAAAAGTGACTCACAAAGCAGTACAACAAAAAGCAGATATTTGTATCTATTTATCACTCACCTCCCCAACTATATAATAGCTCCTTAAAGCAGGACAAAACTGTGTATCACATTAGGTAGAAACAGAATTCTACCTCTCTCACAAAGAATCACTTCTCAATCCTAAAGTAAACACACTAAAATTTAAGGAAAACATTTACAAGTCTAAAGCTAACCCTTAAGAATAAGGGCAGGAATGACATGAACTACAATATTCAGGACTTAAAGGATCACAGGGTAGTCAGATTTTGCTTTAGAAAACATGACTATGGATAGGGTCAAACATGTGGAGACATTCAGACATCATCAGTGGCTGAATCCAAGACAGTCACCAAAGAACCCAAACAAGCCACCAAGAGGAGTCAAGGGAAACAAGGTCATGTTAGCTTTCCCCAGTGACAAGATTTTCTCACCTGACGGAATCTCTTGAGGTGTATAATAAGCACATCAGGCAGAGTCCACAGGCTTAATGTGATGCTCCCCTGTTGCAGCTGCTTGCAGTGTGGGCACCGCCATGCATCATCTGGAGCAAGCTGGAAACAAGGAGCACGATTTCCATTAGGTACCACATAATGAAAATCTTTGTCATGGCAGACAGCTGAACTACTCTCCTGCCCAGGGCCTGGTATTACTCAGCATCTCTCTGGAAGTTGCATGGAAGGGCAGCCAATGGGATAACATAATCATAAGTAGCAACTGGCCAGTGTAGACACCAGATGAGTGCTAACCCACTCTACCTCCCTTAAATAAGAATGACTAAATACTCTTGTTACAGAAGCGCCCCCAATCCCAGCATGCCCCCAAATGCAACCTATCACCTTTACATCAATATGGACTTTTTAAATATAGAACATCTTACCTGAGCAAATCCCACTACTGCCAACCAAAGTGGAACATAGGGGGCTATCCCGAGCCCCAAGTCCCTACCATTTCCTTCTTCCTTTCACCCCATATCCCTCCATTTCTGAGACTGTCTCTTCTCCACACTAACTTCCATGAACACACTGTACTCCAAGTCTCACTCACTCTCACCCACACTTCATGTGTCCTAACCATTCTCTCCTCCAGCAGCAGTGAACTGCTCTAAGCCATCCTCCCCATATGCTTTCAGCAAGCTCTTCCAAACATCAGTCCAATACTCCATCCACATATAACATCTCTAAATAGGAAAGCTGGGGACATGTCAACTCAGAAGTGTTAAATGCATGAAAAAAATCCAGCCAGAGGAGCAACATCCAACCTGGGATCACACATGGGCTGAGGTAAGGAAAGCCCTAGGAATGGAAGATAATTCCCACCAGAATGTAAAAGAACCAAAGTCAGAAAATTGGGGAAATTGTCCGTTTTAAGAGAAATAACCAACCTCTGAAGTCACCAGGATCTGAAGGAGCACCCCCTCAAAGGGGAAAAAAAAATTATATGCAAACCAGAATCATCTCCTTTAGATGAAGCAAGAAAGAGTAGTGAGACTATGAAGTCATCAGTGCCATGCACCACAAGATGGTCAAATGAAGCCTGAGCAGAGACCACTGAGAACCTCAGAGACCAATGTCCACACTTCAAATCAGATAAACAAGAAGAGGCTAGGTGGACAAGAGGGCTACCAACAGTAAATGTGGGCAGAATAGAGGAAAAAGACCAGCCTGGTAACTTCAAGGGGAAGCACAACTGATGGGCTGTTTTCATGATGTGATTCAATCATGTTCACAGAAAAGATTGGTGGACTAAAAGGTAGAAGTTTGGGTCAACAGAAATGATCAGAAAGCCAGAAGAAAGGGGCCCAAAGTATCATCTAGTAAGCCCACATTTCATGTGGCATATTAATACTCTCCTTAAGTGGCTATTTAGTCTTCATACTTGTGTCAAAAGTGGGTCTCTGTCTGTTTAAATCCCAACACATTATAAACAGATAGTTTCATGAGATACAGTAGTAATGTCATAACATTTAATCACTCTGATAGTTTCTAAGATATTTCTCTGGTTTCTGTACTGACTATAAGCTGCTGGAAAGCTCCCAGGCCAGGCAATTGCACTCTGAGTATACTTGGCCTATCAAGGAGCCAGCTCTACAGACATGGACTTCCAGTCTGGTCTCATACACAGGTCTTCTTCATGGCAGGACAAGATCACTCTCTTCAGCATTTCCAACCTTTAGATTTTGTTCTTTACATAAGTCCAACACCTCAACACAGGACAGTCCAAGTGTCCCCAAATAACTATCAGATCCCTCCTCAAGGCCCCCTTCATCAAAATATTCTTGGCTATATCGTGACCCCCCAAATGTACCATCCCCACCCTCTCTTCCACATTTGAAGTAATGACAAGAGCAGCACCAGGAACATCACAGTTTTAGGAACTGTTTCTAAAGCCTCCATGGACCGCACAACAGCTCACACCCATACAGCACTGCTCGCTCATCAGTACTGAGCCTGAAGACAGCTGGACCCCAAACTATTGTCACACAACTGACTGCTAAGTTCAGCCTCCTCCTCTATATCTGTACTGTTATTTTAAACCCCACATTAAACTTCCCATCACATACACATTCCAGTACATATTTACTGAGCACTTCCTATGTGTCAAGCACCTCTCTTGGATACAAAGATATTCAGTTTGAGACAGATAAAGTCAAGGCTTTCACCATCCTAACTCTCTCCCTTAGCTCTTGTGCTCTTGCCACATTGATTAGATTTCTGTTTTTAACCCTGTCAATCTCCTTCCCACCCTAAGACTTTACTTCCCTTATATGGCTGTTTTTCTGATCTAGGGTATGAACAACATGAAGGTAGAACCACTGTCTTGGTCACTGAGTATTAAAGAGCGCTTTGTTTAGGACCCAACACACTATAGGTACTTGACAAAGCTTTAAAAGAATGAGCCTCTACACTCTAAAGCAACCTACCTGGCCAGCACAAACTCCTCAAACCAAGGCAGTGAGCTATTCTGTAGATCAAATGCACCTATCAGTTCATCTGCTAACCCCTAAGCTTTGTATTATTTTCAAACATCTCAGGTCAACTTTTAAGAACATGCAGTGAAAAAGACAGTAAACAAAGAATCTTTAATCAACCAACTTCAAAGCCAATGGGCTATTTTATAATTAAACACGTGTCCTTTGATAAATTATTTTTGAAGAAACTTGCTACACACAGATTGAGGGAGAGAACTCAGTGAGAGTCAGAAAATTATTTCCCAATATTTGAAGAAAATGACTATTTGTTACAGTATGACCAGGGGACCTATTTCAGGCTAATTTCAGCCCCTATCAGACCTATCAAGAAAGGAAATGGGCACCAGGTCTTAAGTAGACAAACTCCTTATAATAGAAGGCACTCAGGCAGCTGGAACAATCATTCATTTTAAATGAGGTAAAAGAATAGAAAAAGGAGTTTTAAAGTCCCTTCTAAACCTAAGGTGCCTAATTCCATAAATACAGGAGCAAAGTGTGAACTAACGGCCAAAATTATAATCCTGTTATAGTTGAATGCAAGTGCTCCCTGAAGGTGCACATACTAAATTTTGGTCCCTATCTGGTAACACTATTTTTGTAGGTATTGGAAACCTTTGGAAGGATCTGGATGGAGGAAGAAGGTCACCCATGATAGATCTTTGGGGTATCTTTTCCCTGGCCCCCTCCTTCTGTCCCCTCGTTCCCCACCAGCCATGAAGAGAGTAGTCTTCTCCTCAACATATTCCCATCTCCAGGATATTATGTCTCATAACAGATCCAGAATTAACAAAGCAAAGGACTGTGGCCTGAAACCATGAGCTAAAACAGATCTTCCCCTCTTATGTTGTTATCTTGAGTATATCAAGTGTTCTGTCAAACCACACAGAGTCAGGCTAACACAGATATGAAAAGCAAGATTAGATGAACTCTACACCCTCTGGTCAAGATTTTCCATAGGCCTGAGCTCCAGAGACTTAGCCATCTGCCTACCTGTTCATTCAACAATTAAATATTTACTGAGTTCCTATTATATGTAAACCACTATGCCAAGTGGTCCAGCACACTATGCTCCAACACAACATGATATGTGCACTGCTCTATATCAGAGCCACTGTCACTGAGTACTTAATAAGGAACTCAATTTTTCATTGTATCTAATTTTACTTAATTTAAATTTGAGTAAGTCCTGACACCTGTGTTTACAGGACATGTATACTAAATTGAAAAAAGTTGGGTTGTGTTAGTGCCACAGCTGTAATCACAACACTCAAGAGAGAGGTAGAGGTATGCCTTTGAAACCATCCTGGTCTACATACCAAGTTTTAGATCAGCTAGGTCTATATCATGAGACCTTGACTCAAAAACATAAAACAAAAATGACACAAACAAATATATTTTGAGAAAAGTTTCTATTACTAAGGAAAATAACACTTCCAAACTGAAATGAACAATATTAATAATTATGACTAAAATAATTACAAAAGTTCATTTCTAGAACACTCTAAATACTCAAAAATTTAAGTCACTCCTTGTTAAAGTCCTAAAAGGACTAACACTAAAAATGCCCACGTGGTGTGTAGAGTCTGTGGGAATGCAAATTCCTGAGGCACAGGCATGTGTGTTCCTGGGCAAGACTAATCTCATCTTGCTGGCCCTGCATCTTACCCGTTCTTCTTTGGTGTAGAGTTGGAAACACTGGGATAAAGTGCATGTTTGTGGCTGATGATGTTGTTCCTTCTGCAGACGGACACTCTCTGCATCAGGGATATATTCATCTTCAGTGTTTACAAACAAGCTGCAATTCAGGGGAAAGGCAGCTTTCAGAGAATGACTTATAAAGCAGATACAACAGCTTTTCAAAATAGTTATGAATTTATAACCCAAAATATCAATGCATAAGAATGTGGTAACTAACTCTTCTACTTTCTAAAATGTTCTTGGAAATTTCTCCACTGCAAAGTTATTTCAAAAGTTAACTTGGAATTAGCTTTTCTAAAATTGTCTATGATTGTGCTTATTGTGTTTTGAATTATGTGTATCTATGTGGGTATGCACATGTGAACACAGGTGCCCAAGGGGGTCAGAAGTGTCAGCTCTCTTAAAGTTGGAATTACAAGCTATTGTTAGCCTCCTGAAATAGATGCAAGAATTGAACTTGGTTCCTCTGCAAGAGTAGTATGTGCTCTTAACCAGAGCTCACTCTCTGTCCATGCTGCTTAAGTCATTCCTTCTTGACTATGTTATCTATGGACATGCATTTGATACAAGCTTACTGATTTACAGCTGTACAATCCTGAAGACACCTGATCCTGTCTGATTTATGCCTACAAGAGGTATGTCCCTGTGACAAAAGATCAAAGTAAATCAACACACACAGCAATTAATGAACATGTGGCTTTCTCCTAAGCAGCAGGTAAAATTTCTAAGGTTTTGTACCTAGGTAAGAAGTCAGGAAGAGAATAATAAACTGCTTCAGTAATGGGTTAAAACACACTTAAGATACTCAGTTAATGGTTAAGACTTGTATGTCCTGGCTAAATTAAAAGCTCTGGGTGCTGCCAAAATGATAATAAAGTTTAAACAAACAAACACACACTCACAAATCTTTTGTCTCCTTGTCCCATTCTACTACCAGTTTCACATGAGCTGTGCCTCCTGGTCCACAGGACTTTAATGCCCTAGAGAATGAGAGTAGAGCCACATGTTATTTTTCTAAGAAAGATTTTACTTAAATGTGATTATATTCTATCTAGAATCTCATAATTATAGGAAATCTTAATAGTTTCCCATCAGAAGTCTTTAATGAGACCAATGCAGCTTCTAATTTTGTAACTAGTTTAGAAGCAGAATGAAAAATTCGTAAATTAAAATATTCAATATAGAAATAAGAGTTTGCTTGCATACTCTAAGATATTATTTATCTTTCCAACTTTTGCCCAATGTCTCACCCACACAGAGACTAGACTCAGTTTCTTGAGAACAGTCTGCTCTCACACTTGCCCAACCCCACCCCACCATGCTTATCTTATGTCCATGTCAACTCCCCTGTACCTTCCTCTTCCATAAATACATACCAGCCAATTCACTGGTCATCACCATTTTTTGAGACACTCATCACTAATGGCTAATATTCATCTTTTATCTTTTGTATGCTGTGCAATATTTTTAGATTACTTAGCTACTTGCATGTCAACCAAATAGTGGCATGTCAAACAAGACTACATTGTTTAAAAAAATTAAATGGTGGTGGGGGAGAGTGAGACAATGTCTCATACACCCCAGGTCTCAAATTCACCATGTAGTCAACAACAGTCTTCAAATTCTGATCTTTCTGTACTGGAATTATAGGCATTCACAACCATGACCAGCTTATGTGTTTTTAAAACTATCATTATAATAAAAATAATGCAACTTTTCATTTTTATGTAGTCACATATGGATAGTCTATATACATATATCTGCTAGTACAAGAGATAGTATAAAGATAATAGAATAGATGTATAAAAATCACAGGAGTAGCAAAGCAGAGCAACTAATTCCATCAGAGGAGGAGGAACAATAAATCTTTACACAATAAAGAGAATATGGATAGTGTTACATGTTCAAGCAATCATCAGTACAATGAAGGCAAAAGCACATTTGGTGTAGGGGGGGAGAAAGATAGCAAAGAGACCTGGCCAAAGAGAAATAGAGAGTTAAAACTATAGGTTATGGACTTTGCCTTCTAGACAACAAGTTACCAAATAAGAGTAATGACTAGGGTATAACCAGAACATTAGCTTGGTACACTTCAATCTTCGTAAATGAGAGTGTAATTTATTTGTCATTTGTCTGTTTGTTTATGCATACATACATGTGTATTTGTGCAATTGTGTATTTTTTTAAACTTCCTAACATGAGCTACTTTAATTTCAAGAAAGTTCACAGAATACTTAGGTGCTAGTTTTATGTCAACTTGACACAAGCTAGAGTGATTGGAGAAAAGAAAGCCTCAATTGAGAAAATGCCTCTAAGAGACTGGGTTGTAGGCAAGCCTGTAAGGTATTTTCTTAAATTAGTAATTGATGGGGTAAGGCCCAGTCCATGGTGGGTGGTGACATCTCTGAGTACTGGATTCTATAAGAAAACAGACTGAGAAAGCCATGGGGAGCAAGCCAATAAGCAGCACCCCTCCATGGCCTCTGCATCAGCTCCTGCCTCCAGGTTCCTGCCCTGACTTCCTTAAATGATAAATAGTAATGTGGAAGTGTAAGTTCCACCAGACTTGCTTTTGGTCATGGTGTTTCATCACAGCAATAATAACCCTGACTAGCACAACTTTGAACCCAATATGAGTTAAAAGTAAAATAAGTGTTTAATTTCTTTTCTTTCTTTTTTTTTTTTTTTATGTTTACTTATTAGGTTTTCTTTCTTTCTTTCTTTTTTTTTTTACTTTCTAGTTTTTTTTTATTCAATTTATTATTTTACATGTTGATCCCAGTTCCCTCTCCCTCCCTCCCTCCCTTTTACCCTCTCTGCCCTCTCACATGCATCCTAACCACCCTCCCCTCCCATCCCCCTACCCCAATTCCATATGTAGGGGAGTGCCATCCAGTTGGGGTCATGTAGATCTGATAGGTCATGTGAAGTAGGGACTAGGGCTTCTCTCCTGTCTCTAGGTTAAGTTAGTTATCCCTCCATGGGGGATGTGTTTGCAAGGTCCTTTTGTGCATCAGGGATACATCCTGGCTCCACTGTCTGAGGTCCCTTAGACTGCTCAGTCCTTCTGGCTGAGACCCATATTCAGGGGGCCTGAGTCAGTCCCATGATGGCTTCCCAGCTATCAGTCTGGGGCCCATTAGCTCCTCCTTGTTCAGGTCAGGTCAACTGTCTCTATGTGTTTCTGCAGCCTGGTCTTGTCCTCTCCATCTGCATCTGGGTTCTAGTTCGACTCAGTGTTTATGTATGGGTGTTTTCTTTTTTATTTATTTTATTAATTTATTTATTTTACATCCCAACCACAGTTCCACGCCCCCTCTTTCCATTCCCTCCTCTTTGCCTGCCACCATCCACTCCTCCTCTGTTTCTGTTCTGAAAGGGGCAGGTCTTCGTGAGTATCAGCAATGCATAGCATATCAAATTACCACGTACTTAATTTCTACATGAGCTTAAAGAATTTAAGACACAACATGCAAATTATACCAGACATCAGACATTATGTTAAGTGTCACATGAGCACATGTGAGATTCTTGAAAATAGTTTTGTGTTTGTCTTTTACCTTTCTACTGTTGGGTGGCACAAGGGCTGTTCTTCCTGAGGCAGCAAGTAAGTTATTCCCACCACACTGACCACACGCAAACTGAATGGACACACCTATATCAAATGACAAATGAGAATTCAGCTGGACTTAGCCAAGGGCGTGTTTCACAGTGGCATTTCCAAAACAGATCAGATACAGCAAACAGCTCACCTTACAAAATACTCCTCCATGTCATGTACTCAAAGGCAACTTATTTATCAAGAATTTAAGCATTCCATTGCTTTCACAGAACACAATTCATTGGCCTTCTATGTACACCTCAACACAGTAATTTTTAAAATTTATAGATAGAAAGTTGTTCTATAACATCTCATGGTGAACATATATTAGTTAGGCACCTAGTTAGGCACCATAATAGTTCAAGGGAACTTTTCAATGGCAACTCCTTTCAGAAACTGGGGGTAAATTCTCAGTCTTGAAAAATCGCAAGAAGAGCAGTTTCACTGTACTGACTGCTGTTTCTTTGTAAAAAGCATGCTCTACTGGAATATCAAAATGCTTACAAACCTGGATGCTGACAGTAGGCCTCAAGAAATACTTCATCTTCTCCAAGATCTCCTTCTGCAGAAGGTCCCATGCTACTGTCTTCTCTAGGTGTAGGACAAAAGGCAGTCCAAATCTACCACACAAATAACAGGGTCACCTTAAATTACAGCAATCCCTTCAGAGTTTCAATCCCTTATTCTTGGTCTTTTTCGAATGGATTACAATCTAACTGGTTTTAGAACAGTACTCAAGCAGGGGGGGTGGGGGAACCCTAACAATGGTAATCTCATGGGGAGACAAGATCAGAAGAACTGCATTGATCCCTGAATATGTCCTTCTCTACACACACAGATCTTTTGTAGACCTCACTCCCTCAGCATAGAATACCCTCCCCCACTGCCCTATGCTCTCTCCTGCTTATCTGCATGATACCCTCATTCCCTATGAATTAGCACTAGCCACTGGTTTATAAACACTGCCTGACTTTCCATCCTCATGTGCTATCTAGGCTTATAGCAACTTGACACAAGCAATATTCATTTTGGAAGAAGGAACATCAGCTGAAAAAATATTCCATTATACTGATCTGTGAGGCTTTTTTTATTATTAATAATTAATGCAGGAGGGCCCAGCTCACTGTGGTCCTGAGTTGGTGGTCCTAGATAAGTGCCCTAAGAAAGGAGGCTCAGAAAGCCATGGTGAGCAAGTCAGTAATTCCTCCATTCTTTCTGCTCCAGGTTCTTGCCCTGACTTCCCTCAGAAACAAAATAACTTGAAAATTGTTTGACAAAATAGACCCTCTCCTCACCAAGCTATTTATGGTAGTGTTTTACCACAGCAATAGAAACCATTAAGACACTTTACCAACAAACTGATGGCAAAGACATGAACATACCTTAGCAGCCTAAACAACCAACGCACAGAAAGCAGAAGCTGCTCAATGAATCAATCACTTCATGAATCTAACTAAAAGATGAACTGTGAAGATCAGGTTGATGCAGAGTGCTAAAGTGCTAAGAAAATCATTCCTAATGGTCAGCTAGTGATTTATTCACAGCAGTAACACTGAAGCTATTTGTCTGAAAGTACTCATGGGTAAAACAGCTTCCTATCACACAACCATGATTCTACTCTAAGAGCCTGGTGCCATCAAAGCGGATTTCATAGGTCTCAACTCCAAGAAACTACTACAAGCTCCCTTCCATCCTATACTTTAAACATGTCAAACTCCTAATCTGCATTGGAGCCCCACCTCTATATGGGACCTTTCCCCAGATGTTCCCACAGCTCACTCCTCCTTTCAGTGAGACCTTGCTGAACTCTGGTTCTAATGTATACCAAGAGTCTCTTATTCACACACTATCATTTTAGCCTGTGTCTGTATCTTTAACATGGTGATAACTTCCTGAGGTTAAATGTGTTGACTTGGTTTTGGTTGGCCTGTACCTAACTAGAGAACCTGCTTACATCCCAAGAGTTTAGAACAATGCCTGAACACTGTAAGTATCAACATTTCTGTTAGTATCATTAATACATGTGACATTTTTTTAAAGTTTATCACCCAAGGAACTTATTTCCAAGTGAAATTTTAAAAGGATCAAATAATGGCTATCCTGACTAGTAAAAATAAATAAATAAAAACAAAACAAAAAACCTCTGAGTCCTTCTTCTGAAACATATTCATCTGTTGTTATCATTCAGGTGAAGCTTTTTGTGATCTACTTTGAAAGATATTCTATAGTTCCCATACATTCTTAAAGAGGTCAACAGAGAAATTTGAGGCATTTTTACTCCCAAATTTCTAACTCAGAATGCTGAATGAATAAAGGTGCCACTTGCCAAGACAGGAAATACTGGAAGAGAAAGATAATGTGTTCAGTTGGGGACTTAAGTCTAAGAAACACATATCATACAAAGAAATATGTAAAGACTTTTTTTCTAAGGTTTAAGATATAGATTCAGAATTCTAAGAAAAGCCTAATAAACACAGGACATCAGCTCTCAAAAATCTAAGCAAGCTTTTCCTTTCCTTTTTTCCTTCCTTTTTTCCTTCCTTTTTTCCTTCCTTTTTTCCTTCCTTCCTTCCTTTCTTCCTTCCTTCCTATTTTCAAGACAGGATTTCTTTGTGGAACTCACTCTGTAGACTAGGCTGGCCTCAAACTCACAGAGATCTGCCTGCCTCTGCCTCCCAAGTGCTGGGATTAAAGGCATACACTACCACTAGCACCAACCAGCTTAAATAAGCTTTAAAATAAGCAGCTTTCAAATTCTAACATCCTAACTTTATAGTCTTTCCCTTCCCAATCAAACAAACGAAACTAACTTACACAAAGATTCCTTCTGAATAACTGAATGGAAAATGAACTGCAGCTAGGCATAATGGCACCTGCCTGTAACCCCAGCATTTAGGAACTGAGGCTAGAGGATTAGGAGTTCATCGGTAGCCTGGGATACACAGCAAATTAAAAAATTCCCACTAAAAGTAGGTTATTTTCATCTCTGCTTTTGAAGGATTTTAAAACATGTAACCTCAAAAATGTCAGTATTTATTGGGAAATAATCTGGTTCTTACCTTTTCCCTTGCTGCCCAGTACAGGCCCGGTTACACACAAGCAAAACAATCTTGTCGCTTGCCACTCTGGTGGGCAAATCCACTTTCCCTGGTTTCGCTGCAGTTGATGGTGGGGAAGACAGTCTATGATGATCCAAGCCAAATTTCAAGTGGTTTAAATTGTTGTTTAAGTGAATGCCTGACAGAATAAAAACAGTTCAACTTAGCTCTTCAAGATTCTTTTCATTTATTCATTACAAAGAACAGGAATAGAAATAATAAGAAGCTGTCATTATATAATTTAAACCACAACCAAAATAGGGACAAACACTCTACTATGAGATTATTCACTTAACCATTAGGCTAGGTATCAACATTCATCATTTCCTTTAAAGTAAGTTTCCCTACCTTTAAAAACTAGAAATTAGAATCCTCTACATGAGTCAAAGTCAGACAGTTTTAAAGGGCAAAAACCCATAAAAACAATTTAAAGTTAGATCTAGTAACTGGTAACCAAATGCATTCCAAAAGCAATGTAGTCATTTGAAATCATCTACAGGATTTCACTAGCAGTTTCTTGTCCCTGATTATCACAACAAGAGGTAAAACTGCACTTACTAATCCAGACCTGTTGTGAGAACATAACTAGAACATATCACCCCACATTAGTAAGAACAAAAATTCCTGACAGACAACACAAATCTTCAGTGTCCTATAGCAGAGCTTCTTGTTATGCAGGGCCGTCCATCCAGCTAGTCAATACCTAGGTTCTGCAGCTAATCAATGACAATATCTGTTAATTCCAGTAAAGGAATTAGGATGGCACCTAGTGAAATATAGCCCCATAAGGAGAAAAGGCCTTTCTCACAACACCACCAATAATACTAACACTTGAAGAAGAAAACAGAAAGCATTCACAGAAGAGGTCTGGCAGTAAGCTAAGCAGTCTAAGACTTGCTGTTAAGATGCAGCAGCACCATAATAATTTGAATGACAAGTAATAGCTAATATAAAAATAAATCCAGATAAGTTTAATAAAGCAATCACTAAAAATACAAATTTTAGGCATAAATACCACAAAGAAATCCCAAAGGAGTAAGAGTGGAAAAAAAATAAAGGTAATAGAAACTAAATCAGAATTAACAAGTAACCTCATTCCCAGGTGCTTGGCAAAGGTACAAGTGTGAAGTGATCAGGATTTCTAATGAGATAAAAGGATGCTGTTCAACTGCTGCAAAAATCCACTCTTCAAATCACAGCCCTTTGTCTTCTAACAGATGGGACCTGGGGCCAGTGATTTAACCTCTCTAATTCACAGCTGTCATCGCCAAAGTGAGAACTATGGTGTTCTCAAATGTTGCTACTAACTAGAGCACTCATAAGGTCATTAAATCATAGTCTAACACATGCTTGCAAGTGATGAACCTTTCAACAGAGGCAACCTCTAGATAGAGTATGATGTTTAGATTCATTAATGCATAGGAAATCAATGTGATAAGATAAACCCTAAGCATTCAAGGAGCAAGGACTGAATTGGGGTATTTTTTTTCCGTTGAAAAATCACTAGCTGGACTTTTGGTGCATATTAGAAACTGCCAGGTATAAAAAATATGGAACCATAATATGGCCAGGACTCCAAAGAATGTCAGCATAGTAGGGAAAACAGAGGAGAAAACAGGTCATTTCCACATACATATACTAGATAGATGAGCAGAAGCAATGATTGAGTTCTGCAATCCAGAAGTTAACCAACATGTCCTTTACAGACCCATGTACTTGAAGTCTTGGTCCCCAGCTAAAAACACTACTACCAAGAAAAAACGGCTTCACTAGAGGAAGCAGTCACTGAGAACACTCTGCTTCACTTATTTGTCTATCTTTGTTGGTACCTGATTCTATCCAGATGCATTGTTTATTTAGTTACAAAAGAAGTTGGAGCTCTTCTTTCATTTATACCTTCTTTTTTTTTTTTTCTTTTAAAGAATTAGTTTTGAGATTTCTCTCTTCTATTGTCTTTGTCTTAAATTTATGTTTTATTGAGCACAGGAACACAAATTCCTGGTGCAACGAGATGGATATAGAAAAAACAAAAAGGAAATAAAATATGGGAACAGTGATTTATTAGAGAAAATGGTGTAAAAAGAAAAACAAATCCACCTGGCTGAATGTGAGGAAGGGCATCTAAGAACCCAAGCACAAATTCATGTCAGAAATAGAAGAACCCAAATTTTAAAAGTTGTTACTCTAACATTTAAAAAGGAAGACGAAATTAGCCTTGCTCTCTGAGTAACTTGGGGAAGGATGTCTTTATAATGTGCTTAATAGTTTTCAAGAGTAAAGGAAAAGGAACAGAACAGAGATTAAAACACAAGCACAACTAGAGAATTCAAGCAGCTTAAAGCAAATTTATACAAAATAGGCAGAAAAGCTGGTAAGGTGGACCTCTGGGTAATGTGAAGGCATGTAAAGAAATTAATATAACAGGTAAGTGAAGGGTCAAATGTTCAATACATTGAAATGAGATCTGGGTTTCAAAAGGATCATCACTAACAATAAAAGAGAGATTTTATAAAAACAAGATAACAGAAATCTAAAAACACAACAGTATGTACACTTAATCACAATTTTTAAAATATACTGTCATATAATACTTCAATGCCCACAGTGGTCAAATTTGCAAACTCAGGTGCATAATAGAGACATGACCATTTACCTCTTTGACTAAGAATTCCTTCAGGTCTAAATATTTCTGGAGTCTCAAAGGCAAAAATGCAATCACTCTCATGAACCGTCTCCAGGTCATCTGTGTCACTAAAGGAACGATGGAACCCATCATAGTACATTTCCGTTAACACAATCTACAAAATGGGGAAAATGTGAACAGTTGGGTAACTGGAAATTAAATATAAAATGACCTTCTAATCCTACCCTTACCTTCATAAGACCATCAGATTGGTAATGCTCAGTAGAGGCTATTAGATGTCTTCTAAGACCACATTATTTGCTGGTAATGAGAGACTTAGAAGTGTAATAGTCTCTGTGACTGTGTAGAAATACACTCTGAATACAGACTCCTATGGCATGAAATCCAGAGTTCTTCCAAGTTTGAGGACAGGTTATAACAGGATTACTCATTCTTGTTTCACAGAAAGAAAAGGAAACAGACCTGACTAGGGTTCCACATGTATTCTGTCTTGCATGTATCTATCTGCATTATGAAGCCAAGCTCTAAGTAAACAAAAAGCAGCTGAAAATGGTATGTGCAATGGCTCTACTTTTAGGAGACTCCCAGAAAACAAAATCTAAAGAATACTATATAACATAGCACTACAGTTAAGTGACCTTCTTAGCACTGGTACTTAAGATACTTTAAATTTCTAAGTTATGTTTTTACAATGAAACAGAAAAACAAAAGACAGGGAAGAAACAATGGCTACATTTAAAGTTTATGTTGCATGTTCAGCAGTACTGTCCAATGCAAAAGTACTAGACTGGGCACAGCAAGAGAAAGTTCCAGGCCCAGCTTGTCATCAACGGCCTTCTTCAACAGGATGAAGAGGCACCACTGGGCTCCAACTACCATCACCACCTCAAGAGTCCTAACATTCAACAGGTCTGAGGTGAAATGACTGGAAACTTGTTTCACAAATGATGCCCCCCCCCAAAAAAAAGAAAAAGACTCTTTGCACATTTCCTTCTATTCCTTCTAAGAAATTTTATGCTTGTGCTGTTTTTCTCCTGGTGAGCATGGAAGCATAATTCACCTCTCCAGAAAGCTGAGGGATAAAGCAAACTAGTAATTATATCACCAATTTATACCACATGTGAAAAGAGTGAGACAGCACTGGGGCTTTGAAGACACAGCTGCATTGCCTCAGATACCAAGACCTCATCCTGGAGAGGAAATGGAATCACGCAGCAATTTAAAAGAAAGAAAATATCAACATTTCATCATTATGCCAGTACTCAGCCTATGAAAACAGAAGAGATCGTCTACATTAAGGCAACACTGCTTTAGGTGTATTTGCCCAAATGGGGCCAAATGAGGCCAAAGAACAATATACCTTTATTATTCATGTGATTATATATAAGCTTTCAAAAGCTATTTCACAAATAGTCATCCTTCCTTATAAATCCCAAGGAATGTTTCCCATAATGTTTTTTCCAATAAAAACTGTAAAATATGTTGTCACCAACAAGACAAAAGAATTTTTTGGTCAATTTAAACATAGCTATTTATCAAAGATGTATTTCCCTTCCCTTTCCCCAAAATGAGAAACCCAACTTTTTCCTATCTAAACAAAAGACTTTGGTCTTCAGTAAGGAAACAAAACAGGGTGGCAGGTATAACTCAGGTATAGAGCACTTACTAGCAGTTTTAAGGCCCTGGGTTCAAACCCCAGTGCCACAACAGTGGCTAGAAAAGACACACAAATGAACATATACTATATACAGAACATCATACTGGCAAGATGCCCATTCTTACCACCACAACAGGAGGGAATTCCTAAGCCTCTCTGTCACATACCATAGTAGTGTGAAAGGTTAAGTAATTACAGTTTACGTAGAAAGCCATGAGGTTTTGCATAATGCAGTTTTTCCTTTCATATATATGATTAACTGAAGCATGCAAGGGTTTTTCTATACACTGTATTCTTTGAGGCTAGATTTTCCCTCCTCACCACACTAAATGCAACTGGTTTTAAATTTCTAACATATTTGACAGAAAATTTTAAAAGGAAAAAAAGAATGCAGATAAGCAGAAAACAACACTTTAGTGGCTCATGTGTAGTTGGTCTTAGCAGGTTATTACCTGATCAGTGGGGATCTTTGTCTCCATAGACACAGCTTCCCGAAGTCTGGCAACAGTCCCAGACAGAGGCACAGCCACACCAATCCTCATGCAGTGGGAACATTTCCCTTGATACACTACAGTGACATAGAGAGGCCTGTACAGATCACAAAGTCAGATCTTCTCATTAGTCACTTATTTTAGCTAAAATATGGAAGAAGTGAAACAAACCTAACCTGAAATCAACACAAAAACTAAAATAAGGCCTGAGACAGCTCAGATGCCTAGCATGCACAGCCCTATAAGCCCCCAGTACAACATAAACCATAAACAGTGGCATATGCCCACCACTGCAGCATTTCGAACCTAAAGACAGGAGAGTGGAAGTTCAAAGTCATTTTCAGCTATACAAGTTTGAGACCAGCTTGTGATACATGAGACTATCTAAAAACAAAAGAAATTGAAGTCAACATCCCCTTTATTTGGGAGCCAAACAGAAAAAAAAAAAAAAAAAAAAAAAAAAAAATTTCATTTAGACCTAACTAGAAACTATTAAACAAGTCAAAAAACCTTTGAAAAAGCCATCTTCATAAAAACATTTTTCAAGTAACATATCCATAATTGGTTCTGCCTTTTTCTTCAAAATAGTCTACCTTCTGGAACCTCTGAAAGTCTTAATAAATACAAGTAGGGTCTCCAGAGAATCTATGACTAGTTGGGGGGGGGGGGAGAAAATGGTGTGGGCTTGCTTATTTCATGTGCCTGCTCAGCCTGTACACTCAGACAGGCACTTAGCTCCAAGAATGTAACAAAGCTTGTGTTCATTACCATTAAGCCTATTAATTGCTAAATAAGTGAAAGGCTTTAACAGGAAGCTGCAGAGGAAAAAGTACCCTATCACAGCAAATTGTTCATTTTACACACATACATTCTTACCTTGTGTGGGGTAGTGGAATTGGCAAAGAAATGCACAAGAAAGGGTCAAAAGTGTTGCTCTGTTTCTGACAATGAGGACATGTCAAAGAAGATCTTTGAAAATAAAAATGTAAAATAGTCACATAAGATCACATAGAACTATGTTAAGCACACAAAGCAAGAGGGAACAAACATATCATTTTCTCCTACCTGTACTGGGCTTGAAAAAGTTCTTGTACAAAAGTGCTACAGACAGGAAAAGATGGTCCCTCAGGCATCATATCAATCTCTGATGGTGGCTAAAACAAAACAAACAAACAAGCAAAAAAACTTAAGTACAATTCACAGGCCTAAAGTACCAATTCTTGATTGAAGTTGAGCCTAAAATGTCACAAATACTCTACTTCCTTTATAAGCTGTATATGGAACCCAGATGCTTCTAAGGTAAGAAGAACACAGCACATAGCCTGAAGATCACATGGATTCATTCCCTCACACAGACTACTACTGCATTTCTCTAGCCTGTTGGGAGGCTGGAAAGCTCTCCTCCCTTGAATGTGATGTGCATCTTGATGCTTAATCACAGACTGCTTCAAATCTTATTTAACCTTTTCATGATCCTAGCTACTAAGCATCTCCTACCACATGTCAAGAACATTGTACAGGATGTTAGCATACAAGGATATGTAACATGGTGCGGCCTTTAGGCTATCTCAATATGGTGATCGAGCCAACCATGTATACACAGTCATGACAGTGTTCAGGAACAAAAGGACCTTAAACCAGACTAATACACAACTTTCTAAAACTAGAAATTTTAAAATGTAGAGCAGACTTGTCACAAACTTCAAAAGCTCCAAAAAAAAGTATTCTTCCTACTATATGAACCACTTTACCTATCATATTACAGCTACATGTGGAAAAGTTATATGTGTGAACTGTTATGTTTCTCAGTAAAACCATTCTGGACTTAGTTTCTATGCTCAAATCCAAGACTAACAGCAGAGGTCTTAATAGAATAGAAAGCAACTGGTTCCCTTCATTAGACTTGTGGGTCATTAGTTACAGTTGTCTTTTACTTACACTGCCAGCATAATAAGCAGGATAATCCCATAAAGTGTCCACTTAGCTTTATACTCACCCAGAGCTGGTCACTCTACTTAATGCAACAAGCCCTCAACAGAAGTTTGTGAGGAGACTTCCTTCTCTCTTTACCCCTTTCCCAACTCCCCAACTGCTCAAGGAGTGAGTACACGTACTCACCTTCAGAGGGGGTTGGCCACTCTGCTTCACAGCATGGTTGAGGTCTTCATGAACTCGATCCAAAAGCCATAGCAGAAACTCCTGGGCATCATGCTGGGAATTTCCTCGATACTGCAGAGCATTCTTTGACACAATACTCTATGCAAGGAAATAAATCAGCAAAAGCAGTTGTGAGTTCCTCGCTCTGAAGACAAACTATCATAATTCTGAAAGAGGGATATGAAATCTCAGCAGTATCCGAAAAGACTGCAGAAAAACAAAACCAGAGGAAAATCCTGATGAATGAAATCCAGTTACCAGCAAGGTACTGATATTAACATCTTAGTTGTGACATTGACATGAGATATTAGTGACAAGGAAACTAGTGCAGATAGTGAAAGGACTTTTATGCTACTTTTGTTGACATTTCTAGAATTCTAAAATTATCCTAAGAATTAAGTTTAGGAATACATTTTTTATTAACAGAGCAGTTGTATAGACAATGTGTCATGGGAGTAGAACACAAGATAGAGAAAGAGTTGATGGACAGTGATGACATCTCAAGAGATATAACTTAAACTTTGAAGAGGAAAAGACAAGGCTCAAAGTGGGGCAGCAACATGTTTAAACCAAAAAAAAGTGGTAAGAAAATATTATGACTCCAAGAAAGACCAAGAAGTTCAATAGACTGAAAGAACAGGTCTGCAAGGCGGAGCAAGAGGAATGAGTAAAGACAAGACTAGCTCAGAAAGGATTTTAAAAGCAAACTAAAGATGTCACAGGAATCCAGAAAATGACTAAATGAACTGGCTAAGACCACATGTGAGAAAAGAAGCTGGGTACAACTATTCCAAAGGGAATGGAAGTATAATGACCTGTTGGAATAATTAGAAAAGAATGCATACAAAACATTTTACATATAAATGAGACAAATAAGCACTCCAACTTTAACTATGAGTGTTTCATTTGAAGTAGGGAGAGGGTGCACAGTGAAGCAGTTATGAAATAAATTAGGAAAAAAACAACAAAGGTCTAAGGCAACATGGTGAAGACATAAATGAAAAAGCAAACCTGCAAAGGATTTAGAAAGGTGTCAGAATCAATAAAATTTGTGACCCAATTTGTAGAGAGTTAGGAAATAGACCTCTATGACACCCATGTCTTCTCTGATGGTGGCTTTTACGTACATCAAGACAAAAGAGGGAAAAATAAAGTAGGTGATGAGTTCTCTTTCAAATCCACTGTGGCTCACATTCAGTAAAGCCTCTAAGAAGAGGACAAGGCAGACAACTGAGAAAACACACATCTGGGCTCAGTGCAAGAGTCTACACTAAAAACAGAGGTGCAGAAGTCAACAGATGAGTGACTATAATCACAAATACTACTGAGATTGCCCAGTAATGTCACAGACATTAAGCCAGAGGAGGAAACCCAGAAGACATACACATTTAGGCTTGGGAGGACATCAAAAGAGACCAAGAAAAAAAAAAAAAAAAACCATTAGAGCTGTGGCCAAGAGCATAGAGTTCAAAGAACTAAATGAAGAATTCCATGAGGGAAATGACCTACTGGTATTATTAAAGGTAAACAATGATAAAGCAAACCAACCAACTACAAACTGTGGCCAAAGAGGCAACTCAGCAGCCATTTGCCATGTAAGCCTGGCAACCTGAGCTTGATTCCCAAAAACCCATGTAAAAATTGGTGGAAACAGAGTTGCACTCTGACTTTCACACAGGTGCCATGATGTGTGCACATCCCCACACACATCATGCAGGTGCACATGCACACACGGAGAGAATCACAAACTGCCTGCTGTAGCTCCAATTGAGAAAAATAATGACCAAACAAAAGAAAAAGAAAAAAAAAAAAAAAAAAAGAAACAGACTGTAATCTGATTGATGACCAATCATAGCTTGATGACCAATTACATGTAAATAAAAACAAAATTTGATTTATAAAATATATTAAGATTCAGTTTGGGATGAAGAATCAAAGAGATATAAGAAATAATACATGCAACACCAGCAAAACTCACCAGCAAACAAGTGAGGAAATTCAGGCATGATGGCCCTCATCTAATATCTCAGCACTTGGGAGTATGGCACAAGAGGATTACTATATGAGTTCAAGGCTAGCCTGGACTACAGAGACTGACCCTGTCTCAAAAAACAGTGAAGGAAGAACCTGATAATAAACAGGGCTAGAGGAATACAACCTGGATGTCATTTGGTAACAACATGGTGAGACAGGCACAGGACTGCCTTTAGTATACTACCCAACTTCTCCCAGCAGAGGACAGATTTCTTTCTTGGTCTTTATTTCTACCTCTTCCCTGGTGGTCTAGTGGTTAGGATTCAGCCCTCTCAATCTCTGCTTCTTTTGTGCCCCTAAAGCATTTATATACTTGACATCTCCACTGTGAAATACATTCGCTTGTAGTCTTCTGTTCCTTCACTTACATCAAAACAAAACCACTGGTATGTTCAGTAGAAGAATAAGATTTAAAACAAAACAAACAAACAAAAAAAAAAAAACCCAAAAAGCAAAAAACCCTAGAACATCTTTTGTAAGAAATATCACTGATACTAGCAATTAGGCCAATTGCTAACTAAGTATGGTACTAGATCAGTGGAGCTATAGAGAAAACCAGGAATGTTATCAAAATTTTCTATTTCTGACTTGGATAATGATCAGGCATAAACCAGAAAATGAGGGCCCACTCTAAACACTGAGTTTCAGACACTGACATCACCCCAAATGAGGTTGCCCATGGTGCTCAGGAAAGATATCTAGGTGGGTGATTCAAATCAGAAAGGCATATGGGTATCAAATGAGCAAAGAGAACAACACATCTAGTGAGAAGAGCAGCCACCACGCCAGAATCTTGACAAACATGAGCATAAGAAAAGAAATGAAACTGGTCAAGGAAGTTCACCCAAGCTGAACCAAAACAGAACTTAAAGGAGATGGAAGCAACAGAATACTATAGAAAAGTCTAACACAGGCATTGGGATGCTTATCCTCTGGGTGGGCAAACAAAAGAGTCTCTTGCCCATTTGATCTCAGTGAAGCAAATATTTATCACAAATGGGTAAAGCAAAAGTAACAGAACAGCTTCCCAGACAATCCTTCATATCCCAGAAGCTGGGTTGTACAAGGAAGGAAAGAATCTGTGCCTATCCAGAGAAAAACAGATAATGGAAAGGAGAGATCTGAGAACCATTATCAGCCAACAGAAGCAGCAAGCAGTGGAAATCCTAGACACTGACAGCTGAATTACAGGCAAGACAAGAAACTATGCCTGCCAATTTGCTTTGCATGTTTTACTTCATGGAGGAAACAGGGAACACTGCTAAGAGGTCTTACATATCATGGGAGAAATAGAAGTCTAAAGCATGTATGTAGCCAGGTCACAGCAACTGCCTGAAGCACAGCAAACTTCTGTTCTGATCACACTCTTATTTTTTTCAGCTGTGTATCCCAGAAACAAGTTAACCAAAATCACACAGCAGCCAATGAAATTTCAGGGTTGGGTCAACATTTAATTCTTTATCAAGACTTGCATTGTTTGTTTATGCTTCTCACCACTAACACTTCAACTCATCCAGACTCACCCACTAATCATTATGTACCACAATATTGTACTATGATGTTTAACAAGGTACTTGTCAAGCAAGACTAAACAGGCAGTTGAAATAATACAAACCTAACTGGGGCAAAATCCATACTGTGTCAACCCTACCCTCAATCACCAAATCACAAACTGAAGGAACTGAAGGAAAAGAAAACATACTGAACAAACACAAAAATAACTTTTTCTGCCACTTTTAGCCCCTCAGTGTGATGACATCTCACAGAAGACACTCAGGGTCTGGGGTTTTGTTTGTTTGTTTGTTTTGTTTTGTTTTTTATTTATTTCTCATACCAACCAGTTTCCCTCATCTTCTCCTGCTCCCTCCCCCTACCTCACTCCACCACTCCCCCCATCCACTCCTCCTCTGTCTCACTTAGATGGGGTAAGGCCTCCCATGGGAATCAGCAAAGCATGGCACCTTAAGCTGAGGCAGAACCAAGCTCCTCCCCTCTCCCTCTACTCAAGGCTGAACAAGGCATCCACCATAGGAGTAAGTTCCAAAGAGCCAACTCATGCATCAGGAACAGGTACTGGTCCCACTGCTAGGGGCCCCACAAAAGACCAAGCTACACAACTGTCACCTGCAGAGACAGCTAACCTGAGTTTGTGGGAGCACAAGGATGGACAACTAGGGAGCTGGCATGGGACCAACCTACGCCAGACAAAACGAAATACAGAATAAGAGCAGACCCTACTCCAAATGACTTGACAGATTTTGATGATTCCTCCTGGAAGGCATCACCCTCCCTGTGGAGTAGGGGGAGAATGGGATGGGAGGGGTGGGGGGCATGGGAGGGAGGGAGAGGGAATTGGGATCAATATGTAAAATAAGAAAAAAAAAAAAAAATATATATATATATATATATATGCCAATTCTTTAGTGTGTGCCTCACAAAAAGCAAGTGGAAGTCAGGACTCCTAAATGCCACCAGCCACCAGAGATGTCTGATTCACTGGATAAGTGTGTAGGAATGATCCTGATGGCCAAAATCTTTAACTGGCTCAACCCCTACAGCCCTGGCAAGCAATTTCATGAGTCCTATCTGATCCTACCTTGAGTTTCCTTTTAAGATTCTTTTTCACTATTAAATCTTAACTTATTTGATGTCCTAAACTTAGTCACTGTATTTTTTAAGTTTCCAGTGGCTAACTGTGACTATCATCTGCTGAATAATAGCATATATCAAAACATTAAAATTATGCAATATATTTCTTCTGGGAAAAATAAAACATGGACCTTTCCAAACTTAACTTCATATACTTGTGTGTGTTTTATAGACTCTGGGTATTTCTATTTGGAAAATATTAAACTGAGCCTATCAGCTTAAGTCCTATATATCCTACCATAATTAGATCAATTGTCTCCTCAGACACCAAATAAAGTCAAAACACTAGCAAGACTCTTAAGTTTCATAATAACATCCTTTTAAAAAGAAGCATTGTTTTCCCTTTGGAACAAAAAGAATGACTTAAGATAATACCTAAAATGAAATTTGGTTTCTAAACTAACACTAGAAATAAG